CATTCGGTGTTTATAAGTGATTCATGTACACCTCGCTCTGCTCTCTTCTGTCTCATTAGCAAAACTTCTTTTCGCAATGGTTGTATGGAAGAAATCGCTTTCTGAGTGATAAGACCTTTTCTTTAACATTCATTTGTAATTCACTTTTTTATATACTCTACAAATATATTTTTTTTTGATGTTTTTTTTTATGTGAAAAGTTGCCAAGCGAGCAGACGGTTCACCTGATGTTAAGTGAATACCGCCGCCCATGGACATCTGCTACACTGGGTACACTGGGTTCCAGATGCGGTGACAATCGTTTGAAAACTGGGCTCCGGCCACCTCACTAACCAGACGAAACGCGAAAGTATTATACTTCCACTTTACGCCGGTCTTCTGTGAGGTCGTGGTACTTACCCGGACGAGCCTGCCCATTCGTGCAACAGCCGAGGCTGCTGCTGCGTAGCCCTACCACCATTAAAATGTAGAATAAAGTATAAATAAATAAATAATTAAGTAGTTTCAAATCACAGAAGTATTCAGAGACACTAGAAGGAACAAAAAAAACATGTAATTAAACGTTTAAGTGGCATTTTACCCACGCGGAAGTGTCGTGTATGTACTTTTTTAAAACCAAGGTCCCCATTTCAGCGCGTCACCGCATTGTTTTTATGTAGTTACTCCGTTTAAAATAAAGCCGATGATTTTCTATTTCGCTTTTGGTTTCTTTAAAATTCGTCAGTCACATTATGATATTCTTGTCGATGGAATATTTATGTCAAAAGACTTCGGCTTTATGAAACATTAACGTGGTTATTTTACAGCCTTTTCTAGCTAGCCGAATAGAATATAAAGTAGTAAGGCGACGGTGCTGCATTCAGAACCACTGCGTTGGGAAACTGATTAAAATTTTCCGATGGTAACGGCGCAGAATGTATTTCAGTCTTACAATTTATAGTCAACGAATGAATAACAAATACAACGCCACGTAATTTCGTCTCACCGGGCGGGGAAGATACACGAATCAATTCATCTTTATCTCTAATTAGAAATAAATCACTGGATAATGAATTTGTATACATTTATAATCCTCCTGTGCAACGAAAATCAAATTCAAAATAACTCTCCACGGTATTGAATGAAATTAAGGAAGATTTTAACAGAAAGTTAAATGACCACGATATGCGCTGTAAGCACGAGCACGTAAATAATATAAATTGTCTCGTTCTGTGTTTCTAATGTCATTCGCCAATTTGATGCCGCATACGTAGTTTATAAGTTATTGGCTGTATAGCTATTATTCGGTGCCGCGGCTTTAAGTACCGATTTTTGGCGTTTATCCATGTGAAAATTGTGTGTGTAAATCATCCTTAAAACACAGGATTATATAATATTACAACAAGCGGACAATATTTTTATTATTATTATCCTACAGTAAAAAATCTTGGAATATTTTAGCGACATCGACATCGAGACATATTCTGCAGACAGATATAATTTCGGTGTTATATAAAAAAAACAAGAGAAATATAATGCCCTGATTGAATGGTGGTGATTGAATATGATTATGTTTCGCCACAATCTATTGCGTAGTGGTTATTATCGCTCTTTTTTTGCGAAAATAATTGCTCAAAATAAGGTTTGCATTTGATGTGGATCTGACATACTTTTTGTTTGGATGTGTGTTTTGTGTCCAGCATTATTTCAGATCGGTTATATTTATTTATTAAACCTAATTAAATATGCACTTAAATTATTTGAGTGTTCGGCAGCGGCCATGCTGTTCGTAATGCACAGGTAAATAATTTCCGTTGATGTATATTTACTTTAAGATTTTACCTCCTGTCATGTCGCTCTTGAATTCCAACTTTCTTAGTTAATTTTTTCAACTTATAGCGACTAGAATCAACACTGCTTTGGTTATTGAATATGATATGAGTGCTGTTTCCGGTTTTAATAAATAACGCGGCTTAGAATTTGGACGAAGATTGAGTTACTAAGTGCATTATGACTTTAAAGCGATTACTGTCTGAAAACAAACTACATAGGTGGACAGTAAACCGTACTTTGATCTTTAAAGGCACGCTACGGTGTGAAATTTACGTAGGTATTTGTAATTTTTCAGCTCATCAGTTGAAACCATTGTCGTAAACAGCGTTACGAGAACACCACAGATGCGTCCAGCCGCGTTGACGTATTCCCACGGAATGTTCATGTAAATATAAACGTAAATAATTCCTACGTAGCATCATTGCGTCATTTTGCATACATATAGTCTACACGATTGTAATGCTTCTCATACTTGGCAAAGTCAAGATCGTTGGCTTTAGTACAGTGGATGTTTATAAGATGCTCTTCTCAGTTCGAAAAACCCGTTCGCAGCTGGTAACAGCGAGCGATTGTTTTGCCAATTCGTGTACAGGCTTTCGATAATAATTACATATATATATATATATATATATATATATATATATATATATATATATAAAGTAAATAGAAGCTAGGCAAACAATCAGATTATTCATCCACATAATTATCAATTTGATTATAATTTTATTATTATGCTCAAAAAAGTCAACTAAAGCACTAATTAACAGGCTGAGCCGTCTGTGTATTTCAAACTTAATCGCTCCATTAACGCGCTTGGAAAAGTACTTGCTCGATGTTTATCTGTTCAAGTGGCCCAGAGTTTATTTTGTCCAAGCTTTGCGTAGATAATGGAAATATATGGCCGAGTTCACGTGCCTACGCGGTCTACGGATTGAGTGTGGTAGGAAAATGCCACAGTTTGGTTACCTAATCGTCTACAACCCTGTTAATTACTCAATAGAGTTAATGTAGTTATAAAAATTGATAATAATATAAAAAATATAAATACTTCCAACTTTTACTTAAAACCAGCAACGACGGTAAATTCCATGGTTAACGCTATTGTTCTACATGAATGAAAATATTAGAAAAGCGTTAATATAGAAAAAGGGTTCTTCTATGATTTTTAAATGCACTGACATTATAAGAAGTTAAAATCTATTAAAACGTTCAAAAAATTAACGATGAAACTAATCTTTATATATATATTTTTTAAATTTGGTATAGTAGAATAAAAAAATAACTTAGCTTTTTCCATTAAAAACCCATCTTTTGAGCTTAGTGGATTGATAACAGATTTAATGATAGGTACTGCCATTTAATCGAAAATAGGTAGGATAGGGTAAAAATGCATAAATATTGTCCCACGTTCCTGACCCTTATAACTGTTTATTGACTCGTTTAATCGAATTAATTTGGTAATAAATAATATTAATTGTCCATTAAATCAATTCACATATTATATTATATCCATAAATTTATACATTTGCAAGCCTTGACACTTGTTTGTTTATTTAAATCATCATTGATATGCTTTCACGATAAAATTTTCCATTCGGAATAATTTTTAATGTTGACGATGATGGGTTACGTGAATGGCACCACCTAAGTCTTTACTCCTTTATGGTTGTGGATTTATTTACCTCAAAGATGTTTAGAATTACTTTTATTTTGTTCATCAGTTCTTAAAATGGAAATTTTATCAGTGCAAGAAATTCTCCCTGTAAGAATTATCTGAAATCTGGACTCCACTAAAGCTGGGGCTGATCACTATGCTTCAAGGTGTGGTGTTTATATAAATATTTCGGACACATTTTTTACACAACATTCTCTAGTCCCAAACTAAGCCACGCTTGTACTATGGGTACTAGAAAACTGATAAACATACTTAAACATACTTTTCTTTTGTAAATAAATACTTATTATACATATGAAAACACCCAGACACTGGAAAAACACTATGTTCATCACACAATCTTTTTCCAGTAGTGGGGATCGAACCCACACCCTCTGGCGCAAGAGGCAGGGTCACTACTCCCCACGCCAATGGGGTCGTCATTTCTTTACTTATTTTCACGTTTAGCAGCAAAGTCTAATCTTAATATGGACGTAATTGTAGAATTCACGCTCAGTATCAATGCCAGATGATTTGACTATACGTTTGTGCCAATTTTTTTACCTAAATGAAGTGACGAACTCGTTATATAATATTAAAGACATGTCAAACCAAACCTGAATTGATAAAAAATTTGTTAAGGGAAGTGACGTATTCAACTTTTAATTATTACAGCTTTTTAATTAAAATGTCACATTGCAACAGACTAATTAATGTAATTTAAATCGAAATTTTCAATTTTAATCAAAATCAAAGTTAATAAAACCATTTGTAAATATTGTGAGAAGGCATTAATTTTAATAATTTAACTTATAATAATGGTAGAGTATTATTATAAATCGAACTAAAATATCATCATCATCATCATCATATCAGCCGTAGGACGTCCACTGCTGAACGTATATTATTATAAATCGAACCAAAATATGTATTTACTAAATAAATATTCAATGTTTATAATTATAAATACCATGATAAACTGTCATTAGTCGATAGTTTTGCATTGTCTGATATGATACTCGTACTAATCTTTAATTTATGCACTCTGTGTGAGCCTTGCAGTCCTAATCAATATTTTACTGCGGTTATGATATAGACTGCATATCGAAGGTTTTATAGGAGGTATTTATTGTGATGATAACTATGGTGGAAGAACAGATAATAATCAACTTATATCCGGTTTTTAGCACTTTTGAATCTGTTTTTAGTTCTTTACAATTTGCATTCACAATATTAATAGCTACAATTTTCTTTGTGCGTTTTTGTTCAGTGTCAAAATAAGGACTAGTGAGAAAATTGTATGGTTCCTTAATAAATAATCCTTTGCACATGATATTTAATACAGGAGCGGACATGCAATATGGTTACACGTGTCAACCGTATTATCGAAATAGCAAAGACTTACTTGATTATGACACTTGGTTGGGAGATCCGGGATCAAGATGATCTATGTCGGCTGCTTTGACGACACTACCAGTACAGTCTGACCACAATACACTACAAATCAAAGCTAACACTAATTATAAAAACGCTATGGGTTGATGTCGGCTGAAAGCTCAGCGCAGTCGTACGTTGCGTTGCGGCGAGCTTCGGCGGGCGACTGGCCGGCGAACTGCCGTGCACTCCTATATATACGTGCGTAGCTAGCTACGACCGCCCGCCCTCCATGCGCTTCTCGTATTCGCAAAAATATCAGCGGAATCCGGAGCCCAATTTCCTCTGTCACTACCTTCTCCGACACAATGGGGGCGTTGATCTCTGACATGCGTGCATCAAGGGACAGCTGACCAGATTCTTTCAATCTGACTACCGACTGACCGACTTACGCGCGTAAAATCGCTTGTAACTCCCTATATGGAAGCGTCGAGCAAACCTACTTTCAGTATAAATAAACCTTTTAATTGGACTGCGATTATCGCCGACACGTCCATTATTAATATGTACGTTCGTCTTACGGAATTAGTACACGATGGTGGGTGGGATGTGAGTAAAATTATACATGTAACAGTAAAATAACGTCGCAGTCTCACAACTGCTTGTAGTAGGTACATGAAAAATAGTTCAAGGATGCAATTGTTCGCATGCAATAAACATCGACTTTCCTAAATTATTTTTATGGCCATTGGCAAATACTTTCTTAAACAATTTATCTTTTGTGTATTATTAACACACTTTTGAATAATGATAGCACCCAATAAAGTAGAATTTTAAAAATTATAAATTGTACTAGCTGCTGCCCGGGACTACGTTTGCGTAGAGGGGTGAAAATTTAGGGTTGTATGCATTTTTGCATGCTGTATCATAAAATAATATAAACCAAAAATTTTTATATAATAAATAAAATTTAGGGGTGGAACGCCCTTAATATTTAGGGGGATGAAAAATAGATGTTGTCCGATTCTCCACCCTGGCCGATAAGCAAGCTAAGATTCACGAAAATCAGTCGAGCCCTTTTGGGGGAGTTCAATTACAAACACCGTGACACAAGAATTAGATTTAGTAAATTTGTTTTTATTACTCAAAAGCTAATTCAAAAACATTAATTAGTAAATTATTAATTACAGAGAGATTTTTAAGTTAAACAATACACTGTTATTTAAATTTCATCTAAATGTCAATCGTCAAAATGCATGCCAATCATTTCCAATGATCGGTTTATGTTCACTTAATGACGTAATTCCTAGAATCGGGCTATAATGACAGTTGACATTTGTAAACTAACACTTTTCAATGTCACGTGAATAAGCCAAGTTGAAGGCGATATGCTCGCGTCCGTTTGTCAATATGAGTAGTGGCAAGTCGCCGTTTCTGGGAAACTTGTACGAGAGCTACGCGTCGAGTCATTCCGTATATTCGCCTGTTTCGAACATATGGTGCTGCGTAACCGTTCGAAATTATGACAAAAGAAAACTGGTACGCGATCTATTTTTTTGGGCGCACATGCAAATGATACTCAAACTGGTCTGCGGTGATGAAATGTTCATAGGGAAACATCAAACGATTCAGATATGTTATAGTGTGAGCAAACGTAGCAATTTGCCAAAAGTCAGATAAATTGATGCGGCGCCGATGTTTTGAATGCGTTCTTCTTCTTAATATTAATTTATCTTCGTTTTTACACTCCTTTTACGATTTTCAGTTTTTAATTTTTTTAAGTGATAATTTAGGGTTACGCCGGTCTTCTGTGAGTTCGTGGCACTTTTTCGGATGGACCTGCCCATTCGTGCAACAGCAAAGACAGTTGCGTGGCCCCACAGATTACAAATGAATATTAGTAACGTCTAAGGGTTTCAATATCACGAACGAAAACAAATATAATAAAAATAATATGAATAACGTATTTTATTTCTCCTCGCAATACGACGTGTGATATCGTATCATGAAGAAATATAAATATAATAAATTCAGCTACAGCATACAATTAAGGCCAGTGATTGAGCGAAGCTGATTGATGTTATAGGTGTTTCTTACCTTTATTACAGATCACCAGGTCCTCATCACATGGAATCAAGTTAATCATCGGTAAAAAAAGCTTAAAATAAACTATCATCATCATCTTCATTTCAGCCTGTTTGAGTCCACTGCTGAACATAGGCCTAAAATAAACTATTTAAGTGTGTATTATCATGTCGATGTAAAGAAATTAATCAAAAGATCTACATGTATATGCAATTTCTATGTGCAAGTGTGTGTGTTTTGAGTATACGCATGTATGTGTCTGTTTGTGGTGTAACGTCAGTGAACGTATACTTGTATATATAATTGCAACTGTTGTTGTATTACTTTGTATTGGTTAATGAACTCGAGAAATAAACGAAATAAGCATAGACCCGTGTCTTAATCCTGTTTAATTTCCAAGGGATCTTTAGCAAGAAAGTCATTTGCAGTTGCATTCACGTGTAAGCAAAGTTAAGCCGGTAGACTTACAGTTTAACAGGAACGCGCTAAGGCGACGATTCCTAAAATAGCTTCGAATGGCGGGAAATTATGAGTTCACACAGTATTCCGCACTTAAGCCAATTTCCTACCAGGTAATGGAACTTGAACAGTTGGCGTATATGTATGTACATAAAAGGTTAAGTTTATCGTGTACATTGTGTGACAGTGTTTTTGCTGCTATAACTTAAAATACGTTAACGTTATAGACGTTATACTTTACATACGTAAATTAAAATACGAAATTGGGTATATTTGCGGTAACAAATCTTTAGTACCAAACTAATTGGCAAAAAAAGGATGGCAAACGAGCTGGCGGTTCACCTTATGTTAAGTGATAACCACCCATGGACATTTGAAACACCCCTACAACCCGTAAATGCATTGCCACCTTTAAATAAAGTGAACCTCAATCAACAGACGAAACGCTGAAGTATAACACTTCTACTTTACGCCGGTCTTCTGTGAGGTCGTGGTACTTACCCAGACGGGCCTGCCTATTCGTGAAACAGTGTTGCATGAAATTTGTTGTTAAATGTCACAAGTCTTTATAATATTGTGCTTTTCCGACGTATTTATGGCCAGAGCTAAAATTCTTGCTTTTTTTCTGTAAGACAAGCGAGATAGTGGTTCACCTGATGTTAAGTGATAATCGGAGCTCATGCATATTAACATCAGCCGTAGGGTTAGAAATGCGGTACCATCTTTTCATAAAGTGGGCCCCGGTTACCTCGCTCACCAATCGAAACGCAAAACATAACACTTTCACTTCACGCCGGTCTTCAGTGAGGATGTGGTTCTGCCCCGAATGGACCTACCCATTTGTGCCACAGCGAACACTGCTGCATGACCCTACCACATTAAAACTGCTTTTCTGCACTTCAACAAAACTTCATGCCAGATTGACCTTTACTATAAATATAAATATAACCGTAAGCCATAAGGTTACGTCATGTTTTTTTTTCATGGAGGCAAATTGAGCAAATGGGTCTCCTAAATGGTAACCGCCGCCCATGGGTACTATGACCTTCGGAGAAGCAGCACTTAGAAGCTGCATTAGCGGTGCTTGATGTAGAAGTAGACTCTCTTCCTGAAGGAAAGTCGTATTTGATTTATAAAAAACAATTAATACTTCATTCCTACAGGTTCAAAAAATATTTCTAGAAATTAACCATGTGATTTTTTGTATTTCGCTGCTTCCTTTTTTCAAACGTTCTCCTTTGTATTCAAAACAATGCAGAGTCAGCTACATACAGCTCTCGTAGTGACAATAAGCCTTCGTAGCTGTCGCGTAGCATAGAGGTGTCAAGAAGCCTACGATATCACAGCTAAGTTTAGAGTTGTTTCACCTGATAAGATACATTATTTTTTAAGTGGCTATAATTATAACTTTATTTGTTCATTAACCTAATATTACGTCTGTTACTGATTATAATATACGGTAGTGATTATAATTATTGGATAAAAACATCGTTCATTTTAATAGAAGCAAAGGTCTTCTAAAAATATCTTGAGTGGGCAAGTTTACAATATCAAATATCGTTTAGTGTGATCATTAAAGATTTCAATTTCAGTACGGGTAATTTTTTACTTTTTATTTGTTCAGTTACCAATTATTTAACGCAAAGTTTGATATTCATCCCATTTTTACTGGAATTTCTGCGTAGCCAAAGGTCAGGGTAAATTTTTCGTCAAATGTTACACGGGAAAATAACTTTAGCTGTATTTGACTCAAAGCTCCGAGAATTAAAAACCGAACGTTTGTTTATAATGTCTTACTGAGAAAAGGAACAGTTGGAAATAAAATAACTCACATCGAATTAATTGCTTGTTATGAATAAATGCTATTTTTCTTGTTAACTTGCTTCGAATACAGATTAAAGCGCACATAATATGACTGCTTCCAATAAACTATTTATTTCTTATATTGCGTTTCCGCGCCAAGTTCTGAGGAATTTTACGCGATCAATACTATAAATTAAACTATTTTGACTAATGAATAACACTTCTACGCTTAAACATTGGTATGAGGAATAGGAGGAGCAAAAAGAGGAAGTTAAGATGTCATAAGTTTTCGAATACTAAGAATGTTACATACAACAAGTGCCTGGTAACCTTTAAAAACTGCATAACAGTTACGCATTCAAAATAAAATTAATTTATGGATTTTATCTCTTTTAATTTTGATGTTAATCCCGACGTTTCCATTAATGTGCAGATCATGGTCAAGGACCTGCCGTAATAAAGAGAACATTAAAATATAACAAATTTGTACTAAGGCCGAAGTGGACCGAACCATCTATCATCTCTTGCGAACAGGTTAAGCTCCGCTGTTTTTGCAATTAGGAAGGTTAGGCAGCTATCAGACATCGACACTGCCAGACTTGTTTATTTCAGTTATTTCCACAGCATCTTGTCTTACGGCATTTTGTTGTGGGGTAGTGCATTTGATATAAATTCTATATTTATTCTTCAAAAAAGAGCTGTCCGAGCAATCTATAACATCGGAGCCCGGAATACACTCAGAGACCTTTTTAAAGAGATTAATATACTCACTGTTGCGTCTCAATATATTTATTGTAATATTTTGTATGTTAAAAATAATATTAATAGTTATCTAAAGAATAGTGACAGACATAAACTAAATACTAGAAATAAGGACAAACTAACTACGCCATTGTTTCGTTTACAAAAACTAAACAGGTCGTTCATGGGGCAAGGTGTGCGCATGTATAATAAAATCCCACAGTCGATATTAAGTCTGCCACTTGATGAATTTAAACGAAAAATTAAAAGTAAACTTATGGCTAAAGCCTATTATTCTATTGC